TATATATATGTGTATACATATACTCTCTCTTTATATACGTCATTTTATTATTGTTTGTTAAATTCGTTGAAAAAAATTGTTTTCATTTAACTCATGTGAAAATATCCTATCTATGATATAGAGAAGAAGAAACATTCAAAGAGAACAGTCTAATTTGTCATATATCCAATAGTTAAATTTTGGTCATTCTCAATCAATTTTTGATTTCTTTCGAGACTAACCCTAACTGCAGTGTCGCAGGTATTATTTTTAATTCTTATAAATATATAAATATATTCTGTTCGAGCAGTATATTTTGGTTCAATAATAATAATTCAAAATAATAAGTAAAATAATAAGTCAAACTTTTGTTTTTTTTCTCATTAAATTATTCGTACATTTGTGATAAAAATTTTCAATAATTGGAAATTTATTATTTATTAATATGTTTGTTATAGTCTTGAAGAAAATTCGCATTGTGTTGCCAAGAAAATTAAAAAATTAGAACAGCAAAAAGATAATTATCAAAATTTATTAGATTTTTTGAATACATAGAATACAATCAAGTGATCGACAAAAAGTTGGTAAGGAATTAGTAATGCATTCAGATTTTATGCATTCAGATCGATATAATTCAGATCGATTTATTCATTGTGTTGTAAATTTATATCACATTTACATTTATCTTGAAAATTATATATACATAAGCTGCATCCTCTCGTTTCAGTGAACTATTTTCGAGAGTCATCACCCTTGAATGATAACTAATTTTTCACAATCACCACCTAATACTACGTTAATTATTCGAACACTAGGGCTTTTGTTGTTTGAAAAAAATGCACAAATTTAAAATATCGGCGCCAGGCACGGTATTCTTATACGGAGATCCCAAGTTGGAAATAGATGGACATAATAATCGTTGCATAGCAGCTGGCTTAGACATACGTACCAAGCTTGAATTCTCTTCACCGTTTCCAACAGTAGTACCAGAAAAAATTATCAGAATAGAATTTATAAATTTAAAATTATATTTGGAGATACCCTTAAAAGCTATTTATGAATGCTTTTATGACCGAAGTGGCGTTCGCGAATTTTCGAGTGAACATCTAATGAACGGGATAAAAGAGTTCACTAAATCATTAAATATTCGCGACAGCATTTGCGAAACCACAAAGGAAGCACAGAATTTATTCTTACAATCGTTTTTATATTTGCTTCTTAATGTAGCCTACGAAGAAGATATGAAATTAACAACTTCTATTCTCGTGAAACTATCGACGGATCTGCCGATCGCAAAGGGCCTGGGAAGTACAACATCCTTTATAGTGTGCCTCGCGGCGTGCTTTTGGCGTTGGTCGCTTTTGCAGAAAGGGATTGTTCGTTATACATTTGATAGCCAAGACTGCACAAAAATCAGGCGTCACGTTTGGCGCTGCGAGAAGATCGTGTACAACTTCAAGAATACGATCAACAATTTCATATCCATATATGGCGCCATGGTGATGTACAAAGATGAAATCGATATGTTCACGTTGGATAAAATGCAGCCCATTAAGATCCTAATTGTTGACTCGAATATAAACCAGGAAATAACAATTGAGCAGTTACAACAGAATATGGAGCATTTAGATCGATATGTAGATTCAATCATTACTCGTGCTGCATTGGATAAGTCTTTTGAAGCGATCGAGATTTTTCAAAAGTTAAGGAAGGAAGATCAAAAAAGAAATAACACCAATGGCCTGTTATCGAAAATATTGGTAGATTAAAAAAATGCGCATTTTCACGTCACTTATTTGTGCTATACACGTGCTGGCACGTGATTATTATTTTAAGATATAAAGTTTGGCTGTTGTAAACTTTATTTATCTTTCAACATGTGCTTCCAGGATTTCATTAATATGAATCAAGATGTACTAAATGCAGGAGGCTTGTCCAATCACAATATAGAGTTTATTTGTGCAATTGCGCAAAAGTATTCAGTCGGGTGTAAGATGATAGGTACTGGCGGATACGTGTTAATTTTTGCGTTAGCGCATGTCATGGATTATGAGATTCTTCTGTTAAAAAATGAACTCGAATTCTACAATTATCATGTTATTAAAACGACTATGTTTTGTAATGGAGTTAGGATTGAATAGTACGTTTAGTAGGTTTATTCTCTTAATAGAAGAATTATAAAATGTCTATGACATTATAATGTAAATTAGTTTTGATATTTGTATAATGTATTAGGTATATTCCGTTTATTGCATATTCTTTTATTTTTGCTTAATACGTTAATAGTAGTATGTAATATGTAATATGTAGTACATAAATAAAATAATGGAGCAATACATCTTTTTTATTTTCAGTACACAGTTATTAAATTTTTCTACACATGCGTTATAGTATTATATAAATATGATGACTTAAATCTATAAGAGTATATCTTTTGTGGAATTTATGATCTATTGATTTTTATACCAACAAATTATTCGTATCATGACAAATTGAAAACCTAATAGTTCATAGAAAGGTATTCATTGACTAGACATATGCTTATACAATATATTAAAAAGCATGTTTTAGAAACATTTAAATTTTATCACTTTATTAATTTTATGATACAGTAATTAAATACAGTATATTTTTTTTGATAAATGAAGATTTAATATTTAATTAATGATTTAGATATAAAATACTTTTCTATATTACATTTATATATTATTGAAAGGATTGCTTTACACTTTTATATATTTCTTTATACATCAAGTTTCAAATAACGATAATATTATTTTATTTTGAAATAATTTTCGATTATTGTTCAAGAAAGCAAGATTAAAGATATTCTTAAGATATTTAAAATATTTAAAATATTTGCTTGTACAAAATGGATTTAAAAATATTTTAATAATAATGAGAAATAATGGACATAAATTGCAACGAATAAAGTTTAGTTTATTCTTCTTTACTAAAGGAACGGAATTTTATAACAACATCTGAGTTATTACATATATATCTTCTCACTTTAGATAACGTCATTTTATTGTTGTTTGTTAAATTAATTCTTCTCAAAAACTTTGCGTATTGTTTTCTTTTAATTAACCTTGTGAAAATATTTTAATATATAACAGAGATAAAAGAAGACAAGACAAAACATTTCAATCTGCCAAATTTCTTGTTGAACTTTGATCATCCTTGATCAAGTTTTGAATTCTTTTAAAAAAAGGTCTTATTATATGTATCGCAGGTAATATTTTTTCTCAGATTTATAAATACATGTATGTATTTTACCTCTGTAGCATATATTGTTTGATCAATCTTTTCTTTTTCTCATTAAAATATTCAGAAACTGTATGATAAATACTCTAAATAATAAAATATAAAAACTTGTGAATCAGATTTATATGTAGGAAAAACTGAAAAAAATTCGCATTGACAAGAAAATCAGGAAATTGAGCGAGACGAGAAGACAACTCTTGAGATTTATTATCTCCTTAAGAGTAGACGAAGAATTAATAAGAATTTGGTAACAAATTAATCTTTGTACAATCGGATTGCTTTATTCATAATTTTGTAAATCTATATATCACGAAAGTAATAAGTAATATCCATTGCAATAGTAATCCTCATGTACCAAGCTTAAATTTTCTTCACTGCCACCAAAAATAGTACCGGAAGAAATTATTGAAATAGAATTTTTTTATTTAAATTTTTATTTGGAGATATCTTTAAACGCAATTGAACGTTTTTACGATCAGAATGCGATATTCGTAAATTATCGCGTTACGAATTAAAGATTGGGATAGAAGATTTCCTTGAATCATTAAATTTGCAATGGTAATGGTGATCCACTGAACAAAGATCAGCGTTCCTAAAATGATTTTTATATCTGCTTCTTCGTATGACCTATGAAGAAAATATCAAAATAACAGCTTTTATTGTCGTGAAACTGTGGACGGATTTGCCGATCGCAAAGGACTTAAGGAAGTAAAACATCCTTCAATCCTAACATGCCTCGCGGTGTGCTTTTGGCGTTGATCGTTTCTGCAGAAAGGGACTGCTAATTATAAATTTGATATTAATGATCGTTTTCAAATCTATTTTTACGCTTACTGCTGCGGTGTGTTAATATATAATGATTGATCGATGTTTTCATGTATACGGTATACGGTACAATAACATTGTTTGAAAATAAATTCTCTTCGATTATCGAATTGGATGGTATGTGGCCCATGAAAATATTAATGATCGATTCAAATATTAATCAGGAAATGGAAATTAATGCAACAAAAGAAATAAAGAATTCATCCATGTCCATGTGTTGAATCTATCATGAGTAGTATCTCTGCTTTATCGAGTACGTCTGCTGTAGCATTCAATGAGATTCATGCAAAGTCAATAAATATAGATGAAAATGACAGTAATTGATTTCGCCTGTTATCGGATAGCTACAAAAGAGTATCGATGAGATTCATAATACAGAGTTTAATGTTATTTGAACAGAGAATGGAGGAGGCAACTATTCGACGATCTTAGAAGTCTGATAATTTTTTATTGAATTTATAACTATAAATTAATTCCGAATTTATATATATAAAAATTCAATAAAAAAGAGAATTATTAGATTCCTAAGTTTTAAACTCATCGAAAGTTTCCTTCTCCATTCTCCATTCTGTTATTCTGGAACTTAACTCGGCTTATTACGTTACATTGTTAATTATTTTATGCTGTACATGGTAAGTACCATGTGATTACTATTTCAAGGTTGCTGTATAAAGTTGGCTATTGTAAACTCCATTAATTTTTTTAACAGATCTTTTAATTATGCTTTCAAACTTTTGTCAATGTAAATCAAAGTTTGTTGAAGGCATTAGGATTATCAAATTGAAATCTAAAAATTTGACCAGATACAAATCTGAAAATAACTTTGTTGGCTCATCAAAATTATTTTGTAGAACGCTTAAATATGATGATAATACTGCAAAAATGT